CACCACTCTCGCTTCTATTTCGGTCAAGTGACGTCAACTTTCGAATCTTAAATGTAACTCATGGTATATTATGGCATATGGCATTTTACGTTAGAAAATTAAATTACAAAATCGTCAATGCTATGTTTGTTAGGGCTTTGTTAAAGAAAATGATAAAAAATTATACAGTGGAACATACGATGATGCGTTCCGAAATTATCATTTGGGAAAAACCGCGTGGGACACCCTGTATATAAAAAAAACTATATTCCTGATATAACAGTCTGACAGTGCTATACCTATTCCTATTATCTATTCACAATCTGCTTCATGCACTAGTACGTAAAGTACCTAGTTCACTTCACACACCAGCGCGTAAAGTAATGTCAATGACAGATGTCCTGTCAAATTATTTTTCTGGTAAATTACTTCACGAACGCGTAAAGAATTTGTCTAAATTTATTTTTCTACTACCGTGCGTAAAGTACTCACTTTACGCACTATTTAGAAGACGTAAAATTTCACTTCACACACTAGTGCGTAAAGTAATGTCAATGACAGTTGAAGACACTGTCAATTTAGCTCCTTCCAGCCCTTTTATATTAAAAGGCAGTGAAAGAGTTGTTGGAAAACTTCTCTGGAAAACACAAGTATTTAACCAAAGCTCCGGTATTTCGAGCTTGTTATGCTCTCGTCAAAGCACAGCAACTGAGAGAAACAGGTTCCAAGGTGATTCAAACGCGAGGTAAGATGTAGATCTTTAATAGCGCGTGGGTCCCTCTCTTGGAAGTCCTACAAAGCAAAAGGAAAAGAATATACCTATAATATTCTTAGTAGGTTCTAGATAGATTATTGTTTAATTGTTAAATTATGATTTTTGAGTAGGTACTTCAGATAATTAGGTGAACAATATGAAAATATTCTTATCATGGTTACCTACCTACCTACATAAACTTCTCAGCACAACTTGGTAGGTATATTCTTAATACTTGATAGAGATATTAGCCAAAAGAACATTTTTTAGGGTACATTATAATAATGTTCGTATGAAAATATTCAAAGATTGTTATATAAAGTAGGTTCTTAGCACAATGTTTCAGGTAGGTGCATAGAAGCAACATTCCTAGTACATAAATAGTACGTTCAAAAATGAATATTTCAATCGAAACAATCTTAGAATATTCATTAAACATTCCTAAAAGAACATTCCAAAAAGCACTTTGAGGGAATATTCTGAGAATATGAATGTTCTTTCACTGTTATGTGGGTCCTTAAGCGGGACACACTGTATTATTGAGTTTTTTGTTAATGCACTCCTTGGGATGCACAGACTTAGATTGTTGCTGTTGAACCTAGTTGTCCTGGTGTCATTATTGTTTTCTGATCCCTCTATATTTTTTCTGAACCATGCCCACCGTCAGTAAAATAAAAATACAGGTCAATGTTAGAATTCCCTCCCGGATAAACAGAGCCAACTCCACACAATAAATGAACAGCATAATTCAATGCCATATCTGAGTCGTGACTCAACAAGTGCAAAGTACACACCTCTTGCGATGTCATGACCCAACTCATTACGAACCGTCCTTAACGCATAACATGCCAGAGCTAGTTTTCTTGGCAGGTCATTGATATATGTTCACCAAACTTCAACTTAGAGTCTATGGCTAAGCCTAAGAACCTGGGACACTCCTTATTAGCAAGGGGCTCATCATTTAAATTTATATTTGCCAGAGAACACTTAAAGGAAAGTAAATTTGTTTTTGATATGTTAAAAGATAGTTTATTGGAGTCACACCACTGCTTTACCTTGCGAATATCTTGCCCAATCCTATCCTCCAAGGTGACTTTGTCTGATCCCAGCCATAAGATGGTAGTATCATCAGCAAATAGTGTAATTGATGCATCAATGTTGATGCAAGGGGCACCCCATGCTCAATGCTCCGTACCGATGATACATCGTTGTGGCCCTTAACAATCTGTTTTCTGTCTGTCAGATAAGACTGTATCCAGCTCAAAGTGTTACCCATGAATCCATAATGAAAGAATTTCTGGAGTGCTTACACAATCGAAGGCTTTGGAAAAATCGCAAAAGACCCGCAGCCGCGATTTCCCCCTGATTCAGTCCAAGATACAGCCTCTGAAGAAAGTTGAACACTGCATCACTAGTGCTCTTCTTGTCCTGAAATCCAAACTGATGGTTGACATTCAGCAACCCGTAAGCCCGAAGAAAAGAGACCATGCTAGACTTAACAAGTTTTTCTATTATAGAGAGTGTTGGCAGCAAAGATATAGGGCGGTAACATGATGGATCGTCCGTGCTACCGCCCTTGAAAATTGGTCTTACCAGAGCGGTCTTCAGACTTTTGGGAAAGGTACTCATACCTATCAAAAAATAAATTTATGAACCTAGCAAGCAACTCCAGCACACAGTCGGGCAAGTTGCTAAATATCCTTAATGACAGGCCATCTATCCCCGATGAATTTTTGTTTTTGATTTGCCTAAATATAGTTTTTATCTCACCAACATCTGTGTGGTAGAAGCCAAATGAATTTGGAACAGAAACATTCCTTAGATAGCTCATAGGATCTATATCCGATGACAACCCAGACATTAAGTTTTCTGCCATTGAGCAATAGAAATTATTAAATGTGTTGGAATCTATGTTAGTCTCACAAGCAGGCTTTACATTGCTGCCTCTCAAACTGTTAACAATATTCCAAATTCAGCTACTGCTACATGTTTCAGATAGCTCCTGGGATAATTGCCTGTTGAAATTTTGGCTGAGAGTTCATTGGCAATATTGCACTAAAAGGAATTTAGGTCATCAGGATTTAGATTGCTTCAAGTGACCGAAACATTATTCCTACCCCTCAGGTCATTTACAATTTCATAGTCTCCCTTGATCTATTAGAAGACTTATTTATCCTATTCTGAAAGTAAGTCCACTTGGCAAGCCTGATCGATCTTCTGTAAACCCTTCGGTACCTATCAAAATAGTTGATTGTTCATAGAGATTTTTTTGATGTAATGAAGGGAGCGCATATTTTTTCCAGATGTTCGCAGGCCCTTTGTAAACCAGTTTTTTTCTCTTTCGCTTCTTTATACTGACAATAGAGGAGGCAATTTCAAAATTACTCAGCAACATTTGATGAAACTGTTGCAAAGGGCTGACAGTAGCCAGAACGTCATTCCATTCCGATAGGTGGCAAACCGAAGAAAATTTAGAAAAGTTTGCCCTAGTATAAAGTCTACCGCGTCTAAACCTACCCTGATCAGCTTTATCGCCAAATGGCACAAGTCCCATTACTGCTTCGTGGTTAGACAAACCGGCATTGATCATAACACACTGAATTTCAATTTGATTGAAATTTGTGCAGAAATAGTCCAGTATTGAGGCAGAGAATGCGGAAAAGCGGGTTGGCCGATCCACGTGCATCCCTAAGTTGAACGAGTTCAACAAATTACACAGTAACTGATTGGATCTATCACACTTATCCAAGAAATTCAAATTGAGATCGCCAGTCAAAATCAACATAGAATTAACCAAAATGTGGCTCAACAAAATCTCCAACGTCTCCAAAAACAACTCCAAATTACTAGATGGAGATCTATATGAAAACAGAAAACATACATATTAAGTTTCTTGCAGAACACTATAGAAAACTCGCAATCCTTTTCGTTTTCAACCAACAAATGATCAAATCTATCAACAGTAATGAACATAAACCTAGACAAAAACTCTCTCCATCATGATTAGTGTACCACCATGTGCAAATTGCTTGTGTGAAAATTTAGAAATCAACACATAACCAGGGACGTCAATGGGCTCATCTCATCAAACAGCAACCAGTGCTCAATCAAAATCAAATACACTAGGAAAATTGACTGATTCTAAAAACAACTCCAATTCATCAACCTTTGAACGCATGGACTGAATATTTAGCAATGGGCTCTTTCACTAATTTTTGAAATTGGCATATTTGGATAAAGCAACTAAAAACAGAATTTTCTGTATTTTTACTTTTGAAAAATTCATAGTCCTTCTTGAGAAAACAGAAAAAAAAGAAATACCTCCAAATAAAAACCCAGAATTTATTTCTATGACGTCGCAGCTCGCTATTTGACCGTGTTGCCACTAATTGTCAACATTGAAAATTTGTAATAGATTTAATTCTGAAATGTTCCCAAAATATCATGAAAAGTAGTTAAATTAATTAGTTATGGATTCAAGATTTTATAACATTTTTATTGAAATTATGCTTAAACACAATTTAATATAATTTTCTATGTTTAGTTTTATTTATTTATTTTACGTTGCACTACATTTAGTCACCACCGACAACAGCGCATTCGAACCTTTACCTGCATTTACTACAGGATAAATACAGCAGAGGCGGACAGCTCTTTCCAACAACAAGCGAAATGAAAAATATTTATGCGACGTCAGCAAATCGGCGCGTTTTTAAATAATTCAAATTTTGGTAGTTTAAAATGCCTGTAAAAAACTTACTTAACCTTGTAGAACATTTTTTTTTGGTATATGTGCCTAAAATAGTCCCTCCTTTGGGATTTTATACCTAAATTACGTATTTAAATTTTAGTGAAAGAGCCCATGTTAGGGTAAAGTGATTCTAACGGGAGCTGCTACTAAAAAAAAAGAAAATATAAAGACCTTTAATTTTTCACACATTTCGAACGAAAAAAACCATAAAAAAATAGAAGTGATAGGTACACATATTTCACCTTAATATCGATGAAAGAGCTAATTACTGTTTCTATTGAAAGACTTAAGCCAGCTCATTTTGACTATATTGATCTCCGAAATTAACAAAAATGTGAGGCAAAATGTGTATCGACAAGCAGACGAAAAAACTTCATATGTATTTTCAGAGGCTCAAATAAGACTTTGTCATAGAATAATCACTCACTTACCTACTGCACAAGAAAAAATTGTGAGAGAAATGTGCCAAAGTCTTCCCATGAATGGAAATATTTGACTAAAATCAAACATATATTTTTCTGTGCTGGCATTTATTTCACCAAACGTAACAACAATGATAGTAGGTAAAATATTATAAAATAGTATAAACTAATATCTATAAAAATAAATTCTCTCAAAATGAAAACAGTTTCGTCTATTCAATACAACAATCATTTTTATTTGCAAACAAAAACACTACAACAAATAAATTCTTTATTCTTGAAACTTTGCAAACTTTAATGAGTAGTGGAAATATTGAAGAATAAATAATTTTACTTAGTCTGTTGTAAAGTGATGTTTTCAGGCAATATCAAAAATCTCTCAATTTTGTACATTGTGATTGTATTTTGAGATCATGTATTTTACTCTCAATTTCATTAAAATATAATATGTAATAAGGCATTTATTTTAAGTAGGTTTACATAATATCTAAATCATTATAATTGTTTAAAATGTATTAAAATTACAGAAAAACCTTTCAAATAGCACCAAATATAAATTGCTCTCACCTCTTTTATGCAATAATTGAAGAATAAATGCTTTTTAAACCAAGATAACATGCAATTTAGTTAACATGGGGACATAATAAGAAAACTAAACCTTTAAAAACATTTTCTTTTTATGTCCAAGTACAATAATTATTATTGGCACACCTATGGTAGCTACAATGCATGAAATTTAGTTGTATCACCTCAATTCTACTTAAATCAAATGGAACTTTGATAATATAAAGTGTACAAATAATAATTCTAATAAAGAAATATTGAGTATCAATAACATATTTACAGAAATTACGTATACAATTTAAGTTAAATCAATCACAGTGTTTTAGCTATTTTAAGGTCACACATCCAGTTCCGCAAGTTGCAAGTACTGGCACGTCTTTGAAACACCAGCCAACCATGATATAAAGTAAAAGTACCTAAGTCAAAACTGAAAAAAACACTGCCAATAAGCAAACTTACAGAACTACATTAAAATATCAAATGCTAGGAGTCAAAATTAACAAACTCTTTTTGCTAATAAATTACTTATTTAACAAAAAATTAGAAGTAACTGAATCATTTGCAAAAAAATTTGATACTGTTAAACTTTGTTCCCTTTTACTAATATTTGTTAATAAGACAACTATTGTTGAGCGTCGATTAAATTCCACTTTTTGTACAGTTCGGCTACAGCTGCGACAGCGCCTCCAGGAATATACCTAACAAAATTATCGCCCGCCAAAGGGCCGACAGCAAATAGCCCTTCATGTCCCATCACTTCGTGTGTAATAGGGTTAACGTCAACGGGATTGGTTTTCGAGTCGATATCTCTATCAGGGAAAATTCCCAAGTTCATATTGTTGGGCAGGAAAGATAGACTCGGCCGCGAACCGATTAGCACTGCTGCGAATGATACTTTAACTTTGACGTCTTCTCCTGAGGATGATGTTAGTTTTATTGTTTGTGATTTGGCATCGAAGCCGGTAAGCGAGTGTTCTGAGTATGCTTTGTATAAGGGGTAGGTGGAACCTCCGTCGTTCATCATTTGTCGTACCTGGAAAACAAAAATTTTATTAATTCATGAATTAGCTAGTTTGAAATTTTTCAATGAGAGCAAAAACCAGAATTTCATTGTAGAAAAAAACCGGTTAGTACTCATTAAAGTTCCTCCATGAATTTTGATTATTACCGGCTCTTGAATTGATGGGGAATTTCTCTAGACAATCAAGAGCCGATAATAGTCCAAATTTTGATTATTACTGAATTGCTGGGAAATTCAATTTAGTCAAAAAAAGAAAAATTTGCCAATTTTCAAAATTTCATCACAAGATAAACATTACTAATAAATTTTAGCTTTTAGGCTCAGTGAAGTTCCTTTAGAAACTGATAATTAGTGTATAAACTGAATCCTCTAGGTTCTGCGACTTGCCCGATAGGGGCTTAGCATCAAATCAAGCCATATCTATTCAAGATAAAATGACTATTGTTTCAGATTTCATCAAAAAATACACATTAGTACCAAACTTGGCAGGTTCTGGAGCGTTACTTACTGAAGTTCCTCTAGAAACGTAACATGGTCATATTAACAAATTGAAGAGATGAGCCAAAGAAATAAAATCACACAGAACCTATAGAAAACTTTTATCATCATAATAGTGAGCCGCGATCTCAAGAGATTATTCATAAATTCGTAGATGTTGACCTTTGTGATGAGGAAATGGTCTCATATTAAGGCCTTACTTGGGTGGTAATAACCTTTTCCATCACTTTACAGAGTTTGATAGATCTGCAGTTAGCATGGTAGCAAAAGCTGCATCAGACGTGCTTAGCTGCAGATTCAACTGGGAACAACTGGACATAGTCCTCATTCAGGAGCCATGGACCCACCAATTGTATTGACCTTTGACATCGTTGTTTGTGTTTAGTATTTTCTCAAAATAGTTTATAGTTCCCGACAGCAAAATATGCTTAAAAGTACTTTAAATGGAAGATAACAAGGTGACGATCAAATGGAAATGCAGGTGACAAGAATTGCATCCCAGATCCACTAATAAACTAGAGAAACAACAGAAAAGGAACACGGGCTGCACCCATTGCACCAGTTGCACTGGAGTGCGTTCAGTCAGATCACATCGGACAGAAGATAACGCACAGGAGGTCATGTCAGGAATTTGCAGCAAATGTTTTTCCACATGCGTTTTTAAAGAACCCCTGGAAGGTAGTGAGGAGATTTTTAGTAGAACATGCGACAGGTGCAGGAATGTTGCGAGAAGTGGTCGGCAACAGAGGTTCGTTTCATAGTACTGATGTCCAGAAAAGTCCCGTTCATGTACGGCATGTGCCAGTCACGACATCGATGTAAGGCAAGTTGAGAAAATGTTTCAGGAAAATAGAAGATTAAGCGCTGCCATTAGCGAAATAGAAGAGGAAAAGGATGAAATAACGTCGAAGTTGCAGAGGTAGAATGAAAGTCTGAATGACGGGATAAAAGATAAAGAAAATCAAATCGAAAATATGAGAAAAAGTACCATGGAGTTCCAGGATGATGCTTTCATGGCAGAAAACAGTTTGGAAGCTGAAATAGACCTATTAAAAGCATCTATAAAGAATCTTGAGAGGAAAAATTTAATACTCACACGCGAGAATAGTGAACTGAAAAAGAAGGTTGAAGATAGTGAGTTATCTGTTCAGCAGGAAATTGAATACACCAATTCAAAAATCGTACAACTGCAACAGTCCTTAATAACATTTGAAAGGAAATTTAAAAAGGAACTTGCTAGCCAAAACCTTGGTAAGGAATTGTTGGAACAACAAATAATTCGACTTAATAAAGGGGTTGAGGATCTAGTCAACACTAAAAATAACCTGAAACTCTTACTATTGAAGGCTGAGAAGAAGGAGATTCTGGAGCAGAGAATACGTGATTTAGAAGAAAAGTAAAAATCTTTCGAAGGGATGAAAGATAGGTATTACAGTATCAAAGTAGTAAACGATGAAAAGATAGTTTATGAAGAAAAAAAAACCTATTATAGAATCCAGACATGATAAAATGAAGCAAGGATTTGAAGGGGAAATAGTAAATTTAAAAAATTTGAATAACCAGTCTTAGATAGTCAAATGAGGATTCAGAAATGGTAAATTCTGAATACTTAAACCAAATAACTACTGTGGATCCTAGCAAAACTGGAAGAACAGAGTGTGAGTGCGAGAGCATAAAGGCTGGTTTAAGGGCAATTGCAGGAAAGACAAGGTAAGCCCAAATCTGGAAGGGGAAATCCACGATGCATTGAAATTGATTAGTGACATGGAAAGCAACAAGCCTGTAAATCCTTATTGGGAAGACAGCGAAGCATCGCATAGAACAGGTGCACAGAGTCTATCATTTCTTAAAAGTAAAGTACTTATACTGATAGCTATGGCTTCAAGTTGTCCGATAATCTGTTAGAAATTTTAAGAAGCACTAATTCAGGTCTTCAGATTATTAGCAAACCTCAGGCAGACTTTGCTCAAGTTACTCAAAATGTTAAAAAGCTCACTGCAGATTTTGGAGAGAATGATTTCTTGGTACTTCTAGCGGGCATAAATGGTGTTACTCAGTTTGAGGATGTTCTAAAGCTAATGACAGAAATAAAACATACCAACGTCATTTTGTGTACTGTTCCAGTGAGACCAACCCACCAGCAATTTGAGAGAATATATAGAAATAATAAGGCAATATTAAATATGAGATAAGTTAAGGAAGATCTAAAACTTGTGTTCTGGATATATCTTCCACATTAGATAACGAAGTTTATTTCTCTAAACTCCTTCCAAACAAAAATGGTAGAATTGAGATGGCAACTCTAATTGGTCAACTATTAATTAGAGCTTTCCCGTTAGTGAGTAAGAGAAGAACTTCAAACAGTAATGCAGAAGCAGTGGGACTTGAGGATGAAACCACCAAGAAGCTATGGACAAGAATTAACAAGCTAAGGGAATTGGATTCTGTGGATATTAGCACAACACGGGTAGTAGATAACAAAAAGGTATTCGGAAGACCACAGGTGGAACATGACAAAAATGAAATAATAGAAGATGAGGAAGATCAAGTGGTTACAAAAGACATTAGTGAGATAGGTTTAAATTTTATATGTCGGGCCCAGCAAAGAACAAAAACATAAAATATAAAAGCTGTAAAAAAGAAACATTTCTATTATATTTGAATGCTCAGTCATTACCTGCGCATTCTGATGAAATTTGTGAGTTACTATTAAAAAAGGGTCCTCTTTTAGTTTGTTTGACTGAAGCTAGGGTGACAGTAGAACATATGCTGGATGCGGAGATTGATATAATGGGGTACAAAACTTTTAGAGTGAATAGCGAAAATCGACATACATAGGTGGTACAATAATTTATATTAAAAGTTGCATAAATGTGACAGAATTTAAGAAAATAACTCTAGAAAAAGAATATTGGATAGGTCAGATTAAATTTGAGATTAACAAAAAACAATTTCTTGTTGCTTCATTATATCGATCTCCAAATGGTGGTTCAAGAAATAAGGGTATGTTTTTGGATATGGTTTGAAGATGTTGGTTTAGAGAAGAGGGTCTTAATTGTGGGCGATTTTAATGTTGACTGGTCTACTCAAACACAGGATGAAGATAGTGACAGGTTAGCAAATATTTCGGTAGACTTGGGTCTGAAAAATATTGTCAGCAGTCCCACGCATTCAACACTAACACGTGAACTGGCACGTCTCCAACGAAATCTCGATGTCGAATCATAAACATATAATATTCGATACAGAGGTCACAGAGACACGCCTTCTCGAGCATAGAAACCTACAACTAACTGACTGGGGTCTATACAAAGACCTACTAAAAGCAGAAGTAACCGACTACCCCAACACAATCGAAACAGAGGGTGAGTTAGACTATATCACGAACGAAATAAACACTCTAATAATAACAGCCTATGAGAACAGCTACCCTGTGAAACAAAGGGTCGTAGATAGAAAAACGCTTTGGTGGAACAGGACGCTCAGTTTCCTAAAAGCTGAAACAAGAAGGTTATTCAATAGGGCAAAACGCACCAACAACTGGGGCAAATACAGAACTGCCCTTACTAAATACAACAAGGAATTGAGAAGGTCTAAAAGGAATTTCTGTGAGGAGATTAGTGACATCCCCCAGACAATGCGACTCCAGAACGTCCTTGCAAAAGACCACTCAAACGGCATTGGACTACTGCAAGAACCTGATGACAGTTACACAGAGAGTAGATTAGACAGTGTGAAACTGCTCCTACAATCGCACTTCTTCCCAGACTCTGTAGAGTGTGAGCTAAACGGCAAGAGAGCTTCGGTGGCTAAGGGCCTCACGCCCAAGCAACCGAACAAAAAGTCTGGCCGGAAAAATATTCACCTCAAACAAAATAAGATGGGCTTTAAACAATTTTCAGCCCTACAAATCACCAAGAGAAGACAGAATTTTTCCAGCTCTCCTACAACAAGGCTTAGAAGAACTTATAGCTCCACTAGCAATAATATTCAAAGCTAACTACCTACTCCTACTAGGTTACATTCCCACCAGCTAACGCGGGAAGTGAATGTGGTCTTTATTCCAAAGGCTGGGAAACGTCCCACAGCACAGCCTAAATCGTTCAGACTCATCAGCCTAACCTCGTTTCTCCTCAAAACCATGGAGAAAATCATTGATTTACTAGAAAATCAAGAGCCGGTATAGTTCAAAGTTTAATTATTACCGGTTATTGGATTGCTGGGGAATTCAATTCAGTCAAAATAAGAAAAAGTTGCCAATTTTCACAATTTCATCACAAGATAAACACTACTAACAAATTTTAGTAGTTTTGAAGCTTTTAGGCTCAGTGAAGTTCCTCTAGGAACGGAGTGTATAAACTAAATCTTCTAGGTTCTGCGACTTGTCCAATAGAGACTAAACACCAAATCAAGCCATATCTATTCAAGATAAATAATAACCATTTTTCAAGATTTCATCAAAAAATACACTTTAGTATCAAACTTGGCAGGTTATGGAGCGTTTGTGCTTACTG